ATCCTCTTCTTGTTCTATTTGTGAGTAATCTTGGGGGTGTGACTATTCCTTCAAGAGTGATTTGTAGAGAGGATTGTTTGGGTTTATCTTGTAAATGGTTGAGATTTGAGAGAAACACCCTTATTCTTGTAAAAGGATTGAGTGGCTCCTTTAAGCCACCCTTGTTGTTGTTAGTGGAGAGTGTGGAGGAAATCCTTGGTGAGTGAAGCCAAGGTAGAGGACTGGGCTCCAAGGGTTGAACTGAACCTCTATAAATCATTGAGCAAGCTCTTTTTCTCTACTCTCTTTAATTTTGGTTTTGTGGTTGCAAAAAGGGGAGAATTTTTGGAACTCCAATTCACCCCCCCTCTTGGAGTACATTGAGTCAATATCAACCTTTGCAAGAAAGGATCTTTTTGCTGGGCAAGTTTAATTCTATCTATTAATGCTAATTGTGCACTAAAAGCAGCTATATAGGCTTTAGTACTGTCCAATCTCAACTCCACATCAAGTTTAGCAAGATCCTCAAGTAACTTTTTCTGGATGGCAAAGATGTTAGAGGCAATGCCAAAGGACTTTCTACTCAACGCATCTTCTACTTTGTTGGCTTTGCCTGGATGGTAGCTAATGGTCAAATCATAATCTTTTAGAAGTTCAAGCCATCACCTCTGCCTCATGTTAAGCTCCTTTTGAGTGAAAATGTACTTAAAACTCTTGTGATTAGTGAAAAGTTCACAAGTTTCACTGTATAGATATTACATCCAAATCTTGAGTGCAAATACCATAGCTGCCAACTTTAGATCATGGGTGGGGTAATTTTCTTCATAAGGCTTTAATTGTCATAAAGCATATGCAATAACACTATCTTTCTACATCAAGACACATTCCAGACCCTTTTTAGATGCGTCACTATATATAGTGAATCATTCCCCATTGATGGAAAGTGCAAGTATAAAAGTAGTAACCAACTTTTCCTTAAAAGTCAAAAAGCTCTTCTCACACTCTGGAGGCCACTCAAATTTGGCATCCTTCCCAACAGGACGAGTCACTGGTAAAGTAACTCTAGAAAAACCCTCCACAAATCGGTGGTAGTAACTAGCCAATCCTAGAAATGTGGTTTTTTGCAACACTATTTGGCCTTTTCCAATCAACTACGGCCTCAATCTTTTTTAGGTCAACATAAATTCCATCCTTAGTCACAATGTGACCTAGGAATGCAACATTATCTAGCCAAAATTCACACTTCTTAAATTTAGCAAATAACCTCTCTTTTCTCAATGTCTCGAAGAGCTGTCCTTAAGTGCTCTTCATGAGGAGCATGGCTAGAAGAGTAGATTAAAATGTCATCAATGAAGACAACCACAAACTTGTCCAAGTACTTGCTAAATACTCGATTCATCAAATTCATAAATCCCGTAGGGGCATTTGTTAAGCCAAAAGGCATAACCAAAAATTCATAGTGACCATAGTGAGTACGGAAGGTAGTCTTTGGCACATCATCAAGTTTAATCTTCAATTGGTGGTAGCTAGATCGAAGATCAATTTTAAAAAATACTTGAGCAACTTAAGCTGATCAAACAAGCCATCGATTCTAGGAAGCGGATATCTATTCTTCATAGTCAACTTATTCAGCTCTTAGTAATCACTGCACAGTCTCATGCTCCCATCCTTCTTCTTAACAAACAACATTGAGGCTCCCCAAGGCGACACACTAGGTCGTATAAATCCTTTTTAAAGGAGTTCCTCAAGTTGAACCTTTAACTCCTTCAATTTTGCAGAAGCCATACGGTATGAGGCTTTGGAAATAGGATTGATGCCAGGAATAAGATCAATAGAAAATTTGATCTCCCTATCCAAAGGTAAACTTAGGAGATCCTCTAGAAATACATCCGAAAACTCACACACCACATGTATGTCTTCTAGTCTCGAAGTCACATTACTCGCATCCATGATAAAAACTAGGAAACCTTGGCAACCATCTATAACGTATTTTTGAGCTTTCAAGGCAGATATTGGCATGGGTGGAGCAAAAGAACAATTGCCTTGGAAACTAAATTCTGGCTCACTAGGATTATTGAAAACTACCCATTTCCAATGGCAGTCTATGGAGGCAAAATATTTTAACAACCAATTCATCCCTAAAATAATGTCAAAATCAGAGATATCCAGAATAAATAGGTTAGCACTTAATTGTCTACCATCAATGAAAATATTCACAGCTTTATATACATCTCTAATAGTCATCACCCCTCATAAAAGGGTGTCTACATGCAGTTCAAATTCAGAGGTATCAATAGGTAAAGCTTGTTTCCAAACATAGGATCAAGTAATAAAAAAATGTGATGCACCCAAATCAAATAAAACAAATGCATAATCAGAATTAACAGGCAAAGTACCTGTGATCATGTCTGTAGCTACAACTTCCTTATGAGTCATCACATGAACTCTTGCCTGCTAGGCTCTTGTGCTAACCTCAACAATCTGTTTCTACACCCCCTGATTAGTAGAACCCTACTGAGATGTAGTCTAAGTACTATGAGCTCTAAGGTCTAACTGCGAGCAATTTGCAATTCGATGTCCATGCTTGCCACTTTTGAAGCAAGCCCCAGTCATAGCACAACACTAGTTGCAAGTGTGCCCAACTTTCTCACAATTGGGGTAAACGAGTATGTTGAGTTGCTAATGCTTGGCTCTCAGTCTTACTAGCTTCTATCTTCTTAGAAATTTTGCTAGTCTTAGACTTAGGTGGTGTTAGGGAAATAGGTTTGTGACCCTTATCAAATTTCCTCTTCATAAATGATGGCCTAACTTTTTGCTCTGATGTCTTGACTCTAGCCATAGCCTTCTCTTGATCTATGGCTCTATTTGTTACCTCTCTATAAGTGGCAGACTTGAATTGATTCCCAACCAAATAGACATCAGGATTCAAGCCCCATAAGAATTTATCAGCCTTAACTTGCTCATTGCTAACCTGATTACCCACAAAGGGTAGATAACAGTCAAACTCCTTCTTGTACTACTTAACAGTACATGACCCTTGCTTTAAATCAGCAAATTCCCTTTGCAACTTACACCTTTTGTTATCAGGTATGTATTCTTGCATGAACACCTTCTTAAAACCATCCCAAGTGCTCAATTCAGGTTCTCCTTGGTGTAGCTTCAAGAAGTTTTCCCACCAAATTAATGATGCACATGTAGGCATATAACTGCCCACATCAACCTTATGGTCATCAGAAATTTTCAATAGGCAGAATCCCCTCTCTACGTTGGTAATCCATGACCCACTTGCTCAAAACTTACCATACCATCAATTCTCTTAGTTACCACCTTCTAGAATTTTATATAGATCTTCCAGTTAGGTACGACAGGAGTAGAAGAAATAGGAGTAAGAGCCGCAGGAGTGGAAACCACTGGGGATGGAGGTGGCACACTAGTGGCAAAAGATGCTTGGCGTCTCATCTTCACCATGAATTCTTGAACAAATGCGACCATTCGAGGGTTATTTGCCCCTCCCTTTTAAGGAGCAGCTTGGGCAGAGGGACTAGCAGCCAAAATTGGAGAAGTGCTATCATCCTCATGACCACCCCATGCACCCTTATAACATTTTGGAGCCATCTATAAACACATATAGAAGGTTTATAGACAGTTAATCAAGTAGCCCAAACAAGAAAATATAAGATAGTTTCCCATTTCTAAAACCAAGTAACACAATCATCAACAAATCCAAGACACAATCAAGAGATCATAACTTTCAACCCAGTATTCAAGAACAATTATTCTAACTCATTATAACACTGAATAGAACTTAAGGACCACACCTATGATAAGTCAAAATCAAGTAACAAGTCTCAATAATAACAATAAAAATTTTATACATGAGGAACATTATGATCCAAGAGTAAGGAAAATTTTTAACAAGTCAAGAGTTCATCCAAGCAAGAATCAAACAAGCATCCCTGATTAACCCCACTTTCATGCCTCACCACGTTCCTATAGTTCATTTGCTAGCTAACTTTTAAACTAGTCCTAGGCATTTAATTAAACCTAGGCTTTGATACCACAAAATCTATCACGCCCCAAAACCAAGAGTGAAACAGACGTCGTACACTTGTGAGAGGATCCCATAAATGCACAAGGTTTAAAACCTACTTAATTCATATTTGACAATCCATTAAGATCCATAACCTTATAATAAAACCTAACTTGATAACTAGTGTTTGACTAGGTCAAGAGTGTACAAAAATTATACAACCTCATTTAATAAAGTCATAACTATCTCAAGGGAATTTAGTCTACGAAAGAATAAACTATCTTCCACCATCTATGTCCAAAAACATATGTAACTAGTGGTCTAACACCATAATAATCTAAAGGTTAAAGTACCATTTTGGTCCCTCAACTTTTTACTTTAGCACCAAAATTGTCCCTTAACTTTAAAAAGTACCAAATTTATCCTTAAACTTTCATTTTCGGTACCAAAATGGTCCTTCTGTTAGTTAAATGACACATGGCACGTTAACTTGCCAACAAATCAATTCTTTTTTTGCTTAACTAATGACATGGAAAAAAAAGTATAGTTGGCCTTTTTTTTTTATGAGTTGGCATTTTCATTTAATTTTAAAATAATAATCTCTTTTTTTTTCATCCACGTCACCAAAAAAAAAAATCTCTTCTTCCTCTTTCACGTTCTCTCTCCTTTACCTTCTCTTTTCCCTTACCTCTGCAAACCTAGATCTGGGTTTTCTTTCTCCAACTTCATCTTCTCTATTATGATCTTTCTTCATCTTTTTTGCTATTTTGTCTAATTATCATAGTTTTACCAAAATAAGATAAGGAGAGGGTAGGAATCTTTTTAATTATGGTTTTAGGTTTGACTAGGCGAATATGGGTTTTAATTGGCTATGGAATTTTTTACCTTATCGTTAGGCAGATACAAAAATGGTATAGAAAGAACACGAGGGTTTCTGTGGTGTGAGCATAAAGAGGGTTAGATATTTATCAATGATCTAAAGATCCTCTGCGTTTATGCTTTTTGAATTGTCCTAGGGTTTCTACACTTTCCCCCATCTTTGATTTCTCCCATTTCCTTTTTTTTCAAAAATTTTCCTAGGGTTTTTAGGTGGTTTGTTTGTTTTGCTAGAAAATTTGGGTTTTCTCTAGTGATTTTGATCGTGGTTTTTTCTTTGTAACTTTGAAAGTTGAAACATCTCTGAGGATTTTGGGTTGTCACTATTGTTGTCTTCAATTGTTGACATTTTTCTATGCTAAGATTGAAACTTGTTTGCTTTCCTAGAAAATTTGGCTCATTTTCTTTCTAGGTTTTCCTTATTTCTGGATTGAAATGAGTTCGTCAACGAGAATCGTGACTATGCTGACTTTGTCTCTGGCCTGGACACCAAATCCATTACCAAGTCCGTAAATTTATTCTTCAATTTATCTCAAACACTCATTTTCTTTACGAATTTCTTAATTTATGTGATGAAACCTAGATTTGGGTTTGTTGAAGCTCCGATTTTCTTCTTGTTCAACAAGGATTTGATTTTCTTCTGCAATTGCAGCAATTACCATGTCCTCGTCATATCTTCCTACTACAAACCCAAATTCTATTGCTGAGGCTTTAGAAGCTAAAAACCCAAATGAAGCCATTTTTATATTGTACCGGGTTCTCGACAATCCTTCATCTTCACTAGAAGCTCTGAGGATCAAAGAACAGGCAATCACTAACCTCTCTGACCTTCTCAGCAAGAGAACAAAGCTAAGGATCTTTGCACACTGCTTATTCAGTTAAGACCCTTCTTCTCTGTCATGCCCCAGAACCCAAATTCGGGGACGTGGCAGACGCCGTGCACTTGTGAGGGGGTCCCACAAATGCACAAGGCTCGGAACTTACTAAGTTCATATCATTAACTCAGATTTAGAAACTCAGGTAATATCTAATTTCTTTTCCTTTCCAACTATTTACTTGTCAAAATGTACAAAGATTTATAACTTCATTTACACAGCCGTGACCATAACTAAGGGGGTTCTATACACAAAAATTTCTAAGTCAAGCATGGGTGACTAACGGCTTAGCTACGAAAACTAAGTTCAAAAGTGCCTAGCCGTCTAGCTCGTCACTCCCCCGGGCTTCCCACGCGTTGGGTCTCACTACCTGAAATGGCGGACAAGGAAATCGTGAGATAAAATATCTCAGTAAGTAAACATGGGGGCCCGACATCAAAGTTTAAAGCATGCCAAATAATCGATTTAAAACATGAACAGAGCATTTCAAGAACGGAGCGTTTCAATAACAAATCATTAATGCAAAATAAAATCACGTAGTGGTCTCCTCTATTAGTCATGGCCAGTGTTATAA